CATGATGAAGTTCATTCACATATGTTTACTCTTTTGTTGTTCACAGTTTCAATATGTTACTATCTGTTTCATTTCAGAGTAGTTTAGCATGTTCAATGTGATACTTAAAACATAATGAGAATGTTTGATGTGATCCTACACTTCATTCATATGTGTTTAGTATCAAATTATTTATCATAAAACCAAGCATTCAATGATATTAATCATAGTGAGTGAGTATCAGATCTGACTCTTTTACCAGCCAAAAGAATAAGTTAGATTAAATAATCAGAGACCCCATGAACCCTCCTCTTTCTCCTCACACACACACACACACACACGCAGGAGACACTCCCAGTGTGAGAAGATAAAACCAGTGAAGTGGGGTTGCTCACACACTTGTACCCTTGCTCTTCTGCTTACTCTTCTCCCCTTTTCGCTCTTCTGTCCACACCCTTCTGTGGTCCTCTTCTTTGTTTTCTCTTAGATCTTTTTCTTAGTCTACTAAGTTTTACGCCACGTGTTGATTCACGTTGATTTTTCTTTAACATCGTCTTAGTTCAAGTTTTGAAACTTCAACATTGAACCTCGTTTTTCTGAGTTATCTGCGTGATTTTAAAGTCACCTCTGAACGCAACCCAGCATGCCCAGGTCATCCTCTGTGCCAGAGTTTTTGAGTGAGACCAATAAGGGTCAAAACGAGCATCCACAGGATCCACAGGCGCCGGCTCTACTTCAGGCCCGAGTGCTACAACTCCTGGCCCATCCTTCGGCTGACTTCAGTCGTCTTCTGAGCTGAACCGCTCGAACCGCTGGTAGCCCCGGACCCTTGGAACCCGCTCCATCTTCTCCAAGGACCAGTCTCACTTAAGAATGCAAACCTCCAGAGCTCCAAAGAGGGCTGATGCATTCATAACTCAGATATCCACTTATTCTGGTAATCTTAGATTCCTCCAAATCCACATACAAGTCTATCTCGACACCAAATTTAGTGTAGGTTAGCGCATATTCACTCACTATCATTAACTTTAGTGCTCCTAGCCTGACTCAGAATCTTTATTTATTCACCTATTATTATTTATCCTTATTATCTTGTCATTTATTGCATGTTTGTTGTACCATCATTTATCCTGTAGTAAACAGATCATTATTTTTCTAAGTTCTTGTCTGTTAGTGCTCTTCCAGAAGTGGAGTCCCTGAAATAAGAATTTCGGCTCAAGATATGAGATTGATTAATTAAAAATTGACTTGATGTTTGATCTCTGAATTAAACTTTTGTTTTTCTTTATTTTCCCACCATCAAGGGTGGGTGGTGCCCCTTTCAACGAGTGCATAAATGTCATAATTTGAGATTATTAATCTTCAGACATTTATTACAAATTCAAATCGCTACAACTTGAACTTGTGGCAATTGTTGAACTTGAGTGTGTGGTATATTATGAACTTGAGTTTGTTGCCTTTGTTGAACTTGAAGTTGAGGAAAATGTTTCAACTTGAGTTTTCTGTGTTTTTTGAACTTGAGTTTGTGGTGTTTGTAGAACTTGAGTTTTTGGCGTATGTTGAACTTGAGTTTGTGGTGTTTTTTGAACCTGAGTTTTTGGCCTATGTTGAAATTGAAGTTGTGGAATTTGTTCAAATTGAGTTTGCTGTGTTATTTGAACTTGAGTTTGTCATGTGTGTTGAAGTTGAGTGTGTGTCATTTGTTGAACATGAAGTTGTGGCATTTGTTGAACTTGGGTTGGTGGTATTTGCTGAACTTGACTTTGTGGCAATTGTGTAAATTGAAGTTGTGGTGTTCGTTTAACTCTAAGTTGTGGCATTTGTTGAATTTGAGTTGGTGGCCTTTGTTGAACTTGAGCTTCTGGGGCCTCATGTATCAACACTTGTGTGGGACTCATAATGGAAAAGAGCGCACGAAAGGTCCGTCACGCTGAAAAAAATTTGTATGTATCAAGGTGTGCGGGTGCCAAAAGCCACGTGTGTTTCCTTGATAAATCCCAACCAGCTTGGAATTGAGCGCAGATGTCGGAGTGACCGGGCCCACCCCTGTTACGCCCACTTCTAAATATGCAGATTTATTTAAATAGGGTCTCCCTGTTGTCACGACCCGGCCTAGGGGTATGCCGGACGCAACATATAGTGCTCCTTCCTCTGCCCCAACTCCCCAAGAAAACCAACAATCAACAACAGTTAGCAGTCTTAAATTAATTTCTTGTTGAACATAAATGGTAGTCAACTTCAGGGTGGGCACAGGCCAAAACAACAAACAAAACCTCTTATTTAAAACTACCTTACCTCACAAACAAAAGTGTAGTAAATAAAATACAGGGGGTCTTACCTGCCTCCCTACCCAAAACACGAGAAAAGTCTGAAATGAAATAGCTGCCCAACCCTACCTACCAGACTGCTCTTAAAACAACTTAAACAATTTGTCATGAAGACAAATCAAAATTCACAAAGCTTTCCACTATTTTCAACACAAAAGAGCCTCCACGAAACACAGGTCTGGCTGGGAGTTGAGACAAAGGAAATGAGAGAGAGAGCTCCTCCAGCAGTCACCCTTTTAACAGCTTCCCTCCTCAGCTGCTGTCCAATCACGCCAGAGTCCTCTCCTGAAAAATAAAACACACACAGGAACAGCACCTACTACAGGTAGGGAGGGTTACCCTCAAACAAAATGTGCTAATGAAAAAAAAGAAACAGGAAACATATGACCCCAGGTCATAACACTGTCCTAGCACACAGACAAAATGACAAAGAAAACTAATTTTACGGCGTGCGAAGTGGAGGAGGGACAACGTGTTTTGTTTGGCAGCCTGTCCAGTGGCGTCAGTACAAAACAAAAAGGCTTGGAGTGGGAGAAAGTTTGCGAGAGGGTGAACGCGGTGGGTTCCGAGATATGCACCCCCGCGGAGATTAAAAAAAAGTGGTCGGACCTCAAGGTGGAGGTCAAGTGGCGTACAGCTGCCCTCCGGAGGAGTACCAGCCAGACAGGTGAGGGTCCGGGGGAGGAGACCCTCACGCCGTTTGAGCAGCGGGTGGTGGCGTTAATGGGGGGCGCCTCTGTGGGGGGGATTGTTGCCACTACCCGCAGCGACTCAGACAGCCAGCCGGAGGATCCACATGCTTTGCCATAGATGTAAACGCAATAGATACACAGAAGCAGGAATTGAAATGAACCAATATTTTTATTTTTCACAGAAATCAATGTGTCAGCCGTGTCGCCGGCTTGCAGAACCCCGGCCTGCGGCAGCCCGTCCGCCAGCCCCGGCCCCAGCACCAACACCGACAAGCGGTGGAGCAGCCGCGGTGCTTCCGCTGGACCACCCAGATGCAGTGCAAGGGTCCTCACAGAGGCGGTCCTGCAATCGCAGGAAGAAATCATCAGGGGGATTGCAGGGATCAACGAGCATCTGGACCGGCTCGTAAATGTTCTCGAGCGTCTGGTGGTGAAAATAAATTAATTTGGCTCATTGAACTGTGCATTCACCTCTTATCCATTCAAATTGTGGCGATGAGATTCTCCCGCGCGAGGACGGCGGCCCAGCAGCGATCAACTCGTATCCCTCCGTCTGCTGCTGGTTCGTGGGGCAACTTTCTAGTCGGCCACGGGGATGTGGTGCACACTTGTCACATAGTGAGTCACCAAACACCGCCACACAGCATCGCCAAATTGCTGTAAACGCAAGTATCGGCTCAACGCGAGCTTCTACACCACTTCCTCACTTTGCGTGGATTTGCGCTGGAACCGACGCTCATGCCGCAATGATAAATCTGGACTTGTGTGCTGATCTTGGCAAACGCAAGGTTTTCTGGCGCCGCAAGCAGTGATACATGAGGCCCTGAGAAATTCAGTTTGTGGCAATTGTTGAACTTGAGTTTATTGTCTTTGAACTTGAAGTTGTGGAAAATTTTTCAACTTGAGTTTGCGGTGTTTTTTTTAACTTGAATTAGTATTGTTTGTAGAACTTGAGTGGCGTTTGTTGAATTTGAGTTTGTGGTGTTTTTTGAACTTAAGTTTTTGGTGTGTGTTGAACTTGAGTTTGTGGTGTTTTTTGAACCTGACTCTTTGGCCAATGTTGAAATTGAAGTTTTAGAATTTGTTAAACTTGAATTTTCTGTGTTTTTTAACTTGAGTTTGTGGTGTTAGTAGAACTTGAGTTTGTGGTGTTAGTAGAACTTGAGTTTTTGGTGTGTGTTGAACTTGAGTTTGTTGTGTTTTTTTAACCTAATTTTTTGGCCTATGTTGTAATTGAAGTTGTGGAATTTGTTCGAATTGAGTTTGATGTGTTATTTGAACAAGAATATGTGGCTATTGTTGAATTTGAGTGTGTGGCATTTGTGGAACTTGAGATGGTGGTGTTGATTTTAAGGGTTTTTTATTTAGTTGGTGGCATTCGTTGAACTTGAAGTTGTGGAATATTTACGAACTTGAGTTTGTTGTGTTTTTTAAACTTGAGTTTGTGGTGTGTGTTGAAGTTGAGTGTGTGGCTTGTGGTACTTGAAGTTGTGGCATTTGTTGAACTTGGGTTGGTGGTGTTTGCTGAACTTGAGTTTGTGGCAGTATTTAAACTTGAGTTTGTGGTGTTTGCTGAACTTGAGTTTTTGGTAAGTATTGAACTTGATTTTTTTCAACTTGAGTTTGTGGCAATTGTTGAACTTGAGTTTGTGGCATTTGTTAAACTTGAGTTTGTGTCATTTATTGAACTTGCATTTGTGGCATTTGTTGAACTTGAATTTACTGTGTTTGTTGAACTTAAGTTTGTGGCCTTTACTGAACTTAAGTTTGTGGCATTTATTGAACTTGAGTTTGCTATGTTTTTTGAACTAGAGTTTGTGGTGTTTGTTGAACTTGAGTTTGTGGAGTTTCGTGGAACTTAAAGTTGTGGTGTTTGTTTAACTTAAGTTTGTGACAATTGTCAAAATTGAGTTTGTGGTGTTTACTGAACTTGAGATTTTGGCCTTTGTTCAACTTGGATTTGTTGCATTTTTTGTACTTGAACTTGTGGCATTTGTTGAACTTAAGTTTGTGGTGTTTCATTGAACCTGAAGTTATGGTGTATGTTGAACTTGAGTTCGTGGCGTTTTTTCAACTCGAGGTTGTGGCCTCTGTTGAACTTAAAGTTGTGGCATTTATTTAACTTAAGTTTGCTGTGTTTTTTTAACTTGAGTTTGTGGTGTTTGTTAAACTTGAGTTTGTGGGAATTGCTGAACTTGAGTTTGTGGCATTTGTTGAGCTTGAATTTGTGGAATTTGTTTAACTTGAATTTGTGGGGTTTGTTGAACTTGAAGTTGTGGTGTTTGTTAAACTTTAAGTTGTGGCATTTGTTGAACTTGAATTTGCTTTGTTGAACTTGAGTTTGTGGCGTTTGTTGAACTTGAGTTTGTGGGAATTGCTGAACTTGAGTTTGTGGTGTTTGTTGAGCTTGAAGTTGTGGCATTTGTTAAACTTGAATGTGTGGGGTTTGTTGAACTTGAAGTTGTGGTGTTCATTAAACTCTAAGTTGTGGCATTTGTTGAACTTGAATTTGCTGTGTTTGTTGAACTTGAGTTTGTGGCGTTTGTTGAACTCTAAGTTGTGGCATTTGTTGAACTTGAGTTTGTGGTGTTTAATGAACTTCAGTTTGTGGCAATTGTTGAACTTGTGTTTGTTGTGTTTGTTGAGCTTGAAGTTGTGGTGTTCGTTAAACTCTAAGTTGTAAAAAATTTTGAACTTGAGTTTGCTTTGTTTTTTTAAATTGAGTTTTTGGTGTTTGTAGAACTTGAGTGGCGTTTGTTGAATTTGACTTTGCTATTTTTTTTAACTTAAGTTTTTGGTGTGTGTTGAACTTGAGTTTGTTATTTGAACCTGAGTTTGTTATTTGAACCTGAGTTTTTGGCCTATGTTGAAATTGAACTTGGGGCATGGTTGAACTTGGGTTTGTGGTGTTTGTTAAGCTCCAGTTTTTGGCAATTGTTGAACTTGAATGTGTGGCATCTGTTGAACTTGTGTTTGATGTTTTTGTTGAACTTGTGTATGTGGGGTTTTTTGAACTTGAATTCGTGGCAATTGTTGAACTTGAGTTTGTGGTGTTTCTTGAACTTGAGTTATACACATGTTGGATTGTGAGTTTTTGCAATTGTTAAACTTGAGTTTGTGGCGTTTTTTGAACTGGAATTTGTTGCAATTTTTGAACTTGAGTTTGTGGTGTTTCTTCAACTTGAATTTGTGGTGTTTGTTGACCTTGTGTTTTTGCTGTTTGTTGAACTTGAAGTTGTGGCACATGTCGAACTTGTATTGGTGGGTGGCTTTGTTGAACTTGAGATTGTGGCATTTTCTGAGCTTGTAGTTGTGGCATGGTTGAACTTGGTTTTGTGGTGTTCATTACGCTCCTGTTTGTGACAATTGTTGGGAATGAGTTTGTGGTGTTTGTTGAACTTAAATTTCTTGCTTTTGTTGAACCTGAGTTCATGGCTTTTTTTGAACTTGAGTTTGTGCCGTTTTTTGAACTTGAATTCGTGGCAATTGTTGAACTTGAGTTTGTGGTGTTTCTTGAACTTAAATTTGTGGTGTTTGTTTGTTTGTGTTTGTTGAGCTTGAAGTTATGGTGTATGTTAAGGCGTTTTTCAACTCGAGGTTGTGGCCTCTGTTGAACTTAAAGTTGTGGCATTTATTTAACTTAAGTTTGCTGTGTTAGTTGAACTTGAGTTTGTGGGAATTGCTGAACTTGAGTTTGTGGCGTTTGTTGAGCTTGAAGTTGTGGCATTTGTTTAACTTGAATTTGTGGGGTTTGTTGAACTTAAAGTTGTGCTGTTCATTAAACTCTAAGTTGTGGCATTTGTTGAACTTGAATTTGCTGTGTTTGTTGAACTTGAGTTTGTGGCGTTTGTTAAACTTGAGTTTGTGGGAACTGCTGAACTTGAGTTTGTGGTGTTTGTTGAGCTTGAAGTTGTGGCTTTTGTTGAGCTTGAAGTTGTGGCATTTGTTGAACTTGAATTTGCTGTGTTTGTTGAACTTGAGTTTGTGGCATTTGTTGAACTTGAGTTTGCTGGTTTTTTTAACTTGAGTTTTTGGCGTTTGTAGAACTTGAGTGGCATTCGTTGAATTTGAGTATGTGGTGTTTTTTGAACTTAAGTTTTTGGTGTGTGTTGAACTTGAGTTTGTGGTGTTTTTTCAATTCCAGGTTGTGGCCTCTTTTGAACTTAAAGTTGTGGCATTTATTTAACTTAAGATTGCTGTGTTTTTTGAACTTGGATTTGTGGTGATTGTTCAACTTGAGTTTGTGGGAATTGCTGAACTTGAGTTTGTGGCATTTGTTGAGCTTGAAGTTGTGGTTTTCTTTCAACTCTCAGTTGTGGCATTTGTTGAACTTGAATTTGCTGTGTTTGTTGAACTTGAGTTTGTGGCATTTGTTGAACTTGAGTTTGTGGTGTTTGTTGAACTTGAGTTTGTGGGAATTGCTGAACTTGAGTTTGTGGTGTTTGTTAAGCTTGAAGTTGTGGTGTTCGTTCAACTCTAAGTTGTGGCATTTGTTGAACTTGAATTTGCTGTGTTTGTTGAACTTGAATTTGCTGTGTTTGTTGAACTTGAGTTTGTGGCGTTTGTAGAACTTGAGTTTGTGGTGTTTGTTGAACTTGAGTTTGTGGTGTTTGTTGAGCTTGAAGTTGTGGCATTTGTTGAACTTGAATTTGTGGGGTTTGTTGAACTTGAAGTTGTGGTGTTCATTAAACTCTAAGTTGTGGCATTTGTTGAACTTGAATTTGCTGTGTTTGTTGAACTTGAGTTTGTGGTGTTTCTTGAACTTAAATTTGTGGTGTTTGTTGAATTTAAGTTTTTGGCGGTTGTACATGAAGTTTTTGGCAATTGTTGAACTTGAGTTCATGGCTTTTGCTTAACTTGAGTTTGTGGCGTTTTTTGAACTTGAGTTCATGGCAATTGTTGAACTTGAGTTTGTTGCATGTTTGACTGTGAGTTTTTGCAATTGTTCAATTGTTAAACTTGAGTTTGTGGTGTTTTTTGCAATCAAGTTTTGTGGTGTTTATTTGACTATAGTTTTTGCTGTTTGTTGAACTTAAAGTTGTGATGATTGTTGAACTTGAGTTTGTGGTGTTTGTTGAACTTGAATTTGTGGCATTTGTTTAGCTTTAGTTTGTGGCGTTTGTTGAACTTCAGTTTGAGGTGTTTGTTGAACATAATATTGTGGCATTTGTTGAACTTCACTTTGTGGTGTTTTTTGCACTCAAATTTGTGGTGTTTCTTGGACTTGCGATTACAGTGTTTGAACTTGAAGTTGTGACGTACGTTGTACTTGAGTTTGTAGTGTTTGATGAACTTGAGTTTTTGCTGTTTGTTAAACTTTAAGTTGTGGCACATGTTGAACTTGTATTGGTGGCTTTGTTGAACTTGAGATTGTGGTTTTTGTTGAACTTGTGTTTTTGGCATTTGTTGAAATTGAAGTTGCGACAATTGTTGAATTTGGGTTTGTGGTGTTTGTTAAACCTGAGTTTGTGGTATGTATGAATTTGAGTTTGTAGTTTGGTTGAACTTGAGTTTTGGAGTTTGTTGACCTTGAGAATCTGGCGTTTGTTGAACTTGAAGTTGTGCTATTTGTTGAACTTGAGATTGGGCTCTTTTTTGAACTTGCGTTTGTGCTGTATTTTGAACTTGAGTTTGTGGTGTTTGTTGAACTTGAGTTTGATGTGTTTGCTGAACGTTAGTTCATGGCTTGTATTGAATTTGAGTTTGAGGCATTTGTTAAACTTGAAGTTGTGGAAATTGTTGCTGTTTAGTTGTGGCTTTTATGAACTTAAGTTTGTGATGTTTGTTGAACCTGAGTTTCTGTTGTTTGTTGAACTTGAGTTATTGGCATTTTTTAACTGGAGTTTGTGGCAATTGTTGAACTTGAAGTTGTGGCAATTGTTGAACTTGAGTTTTTGGTAAGTATAGAACTTGATTTTTCCTCAACTTGAGTTTGTGGCAATTGTCGAACTTGAGTTTGTGGCATTTGTTAAACTTGAGTGTGTGGCATTTTTTGAACTTGCATTTGTGGCATTTGTTGAACTTGAATTTGCTGTGTTTGTTGAACTTAAGTTTGTGGCAATTGTTTAACTTGAGTTTGTGGCATTTGTTGAACTTGAAGTTGTGGTGTTTCGTGGAACTTGAAGTTGTGGTGTATGTTGCACTTGAGTTTGTGGCCTTTGTTTGACTTAAAGTTTTGGTTTTTGCTTAACTTGAGCTTGAGGCAATTGTCAACGTTGAGTTTGTGGCATGTTTGAACTTGAGATTTTGGGCTTTGTTGAACTGAGATTTGTTGCATTTCTTGTACTTGAACTTGTGGCATTTGTTGAACTTGAGTTTGCAGTGTTTGTTGAGCTTTAAGATATGGTGTATGTTGAACTTGAGTTCAAGGCGTTTTTTCAACTCGAGGTTGTGGCCTCTGTTGAACTTAAAAATGTGGCATTTATTTAACTTAAGTTTGCTGTGTTGAACTTGAGTTTGTGGGAATTGCTGAACTTGTGTTTGTGGCGTTTGTTGAGCTTGAAGTTGTGGCATTTGTTTAACTTGAATTTGCTGTGTTTGTTAAACTTAAAGTTGTGTTGTTCATTAAACTCTAAGTTGTGGCATTTGTTGAACTTGAATTTGCTGTGTTTGTTGAACTTGAGTTTGTGGCGTTTGTTGAACTTGAGTTTGTGGGAATTGCTGAACTTGAGTTTGTGGTGTTTGTTGAGCTTGAAGTTGTGGCTTTTGTTGAACTTGAATTTGTGGGGTTTGTTGAACTTGAATTTGCTGTTTTTGTTGAACTTGAGTTTGTGGCATTTGTTGAACTTGAAGTTGTGGCATTTGTTGAACTTGAGTTTGTGGTGTTTGTTGAGCTTGAAGTTATGGTGTTCATTAAACTCTAAGTTGTGAAAAATTTTGGAACTTGAGTTTGCTGTGTTTTTTTAACTTGAGTTTTTGGCGTTTGTAGAACTTGAGTGGCATTCGTTGAATTTGAGTTTGTGGCGTTTTTTCAATTCGAGGTTGTGGCCTCTTTTGAACTTAAAGTTGTGGCATTTATTTAACTTAAGATTGCTGTGTTTTTTGAACTTGGGTTTGTGGTGTTTGTTGAACTTGAGTATGTGACATTTTTGGACTTGAATTTGTGGTGTTTCTTGAACAAAAGTTATTCACATGTTGGATTGTGAGTTTTTGCAATTGTTAAACTTGAGTTTGTGGCGTTTCTTGAACTTGATTTTGTGGCAAATGTTGAACTTGAGTTCATGGCTTTTGTTGAACTTGAGTTTGTGGTTTTTGTCGAATTTGAGTTTGTGGCATTTGTTAAACTTGAGTTTGTGGTGTTTTTGCAATCAAGTTTTGTGGTGTTTATTGGTCTTGAGATTTTGGTGTTTGTTGAATTTGAAGTTGTGACGATTGTTGAACTTGAGTTTGTGGTATGGTTGAACTTGAGTTTGTGGCATGTTTGAACTTGAATTTGTGGCATTTGTTTAGCTCTAGTTTGTGGCGTTTGTTGAACTTAAGTTTGAGGTGTTTGTTGAACATAATATTGTGGCATTTGTTGAACTTCAGTTTGTGGTGTTTTTTGCACTCATATTTGTGGTGTTTCTTGGACTTGAGATTACGGTGTTTGAACTTGAAGTTGTGACGTATGTTGAACTTGAGTTTGTGGTGTTTGATGAACTTGAGTTTGTAGTGTTTGATGAACTTGAGTTTTTGCTGTTTATTAAACTTTAAGTTGTGGCACATGTTGAACTTGTATTGGTGGCTTTGTTGAACTTGAGATTGTGGCATTTTTTGAACTTGTGCTTTTGGCATTTGTTGAAATTGAAGTTGCGACAATTGTTGAATTTGGGTTTGTGGTGTTTGTTAAACTTGGGTTTGTGGTATGTATAAATTTGAGTTTGTGGTATGGTTGAACTTGAGTTTTGGAGTTTGTTGACCTTGAGAATCTGGCGTTTGTTGAACTTGAAGTTGTGTTATTTGTTGAACTTGAGATTGGGCTCTTTTTTGAACTTGCTTTTGTGCTGTTTTTTGAACTTGAGTTTGTGGTGTTTGTTGAACTTGATTTTGTGGCAAATGTTGAACTTGAGTTCATGGCTTTTGTTGAACTTGAGTTTGTGGTTTTTGTCGAATTTGAGTTTGTGGTGTTTGTTGAACAAGAGTTTGGTGTTTGTAAAACCCAAGTTTGGGGCAATTGTTGAACTCGAGTTTGTGGTGTTTTTTGAACTTCAGTTTGTGGTGTTTGTTGAACTTGAAGTTGTGGCATTTGTTAAACTTGAGTTTGTGGTGTTTTTGCAATCAAGTTTTGTGGTGTTTATTGGTCTTGAGATTTTGGTGTTTGTTGAATTTGAAGTTGTGACGATTGTTGAACTTGAGTTTGTGGTATGGTTGAACTTGAGTTTGTGGCATGTTTGAACTTGAATTTGTGGCATTTGTTTAGCTCTAGTTTGTGGCATTTGTTGAACTTAAGTTTGAGGTGTTTGTTGAACATAATATTGTGGCATTTGTTGAACTTCAGTTTGTGGTGTTTTTTGCACTCAAATTTGTGGTGTTTCTTGGACTTGAGATTACGGTGTTTGAACTTGAAGTTGTGACGTATGTTGAACTTGAGTTTGTGGTGTTTGATGAACTTGAGTTTGTAGTGTTTGATGAACTTGAGTTTTTGCTGTTTATTAAACTTTAAGTTGTGGCACATGTTGAACTTGTATTGGTGGCTTTGTTGAACTTGAGATTGTGGCATTTTTTGAACTTGTGTTTTTGGCATTTGTTGAAATTGAAGTTGCGACAATTGTTGAATTTGGGTTTGTGGTGTTTGTTAAACTTGGGTTTGTGGTATGTATAAATTTGAGTTTGTGGTATGGTTGAACTTGAGTTTTGGAGTTTGTTGACCTTGAGAATCTGGCGTTTGTTGAACTTGAAGTTGTGTTATTTGTTGAACTTGAGATTGGGCTCTTTTTTGAACTTGCTTTTGTGCTGTTTTTTGAACTTGAGTTTGTGGTGTTTGAACTTGATTTTGTGGCAAATGTTGAACTTGAGTTCATGGCTTTTGTTGAACTTGAGTTTGTGGTTTTTGTCGAATTTGAGTTTGTGGTGTTTGTTGAACAAGAGTTTGATGTTTGTAAAACCCAAGTTTGGGGCAATTGTTGAACTCGAGTTTGTGGCGTTTTTTGAACTTCAGTTTGTGGTGTTTGTTGAACTTGAAGTTGTGGCATTTGTTAAACTTGAGTTTGTGGTGTTTTGCAATCAAGTTTTGTGGTGTTTATTGGTCTTGAGATTTTGGTGTTTGTTGAATTTGAAGTTGTGACGATTGTTGAACTTGAGTTTGTGGTATGGTTGAACTTGAGTTTGTGGCATGTTTGAACTTGAATTTGTGGCATTTGTTTAGCTCTAGTTTGTGGCATTTGTTGAACTTAAGTTTGAGGTGTTTGTTGAACATAATATTGTGGCATTTGTTGAACTTCAGTTTGTGGTGTTTTTTGCACTCAAATTTGTGGTGTTTCTTGGACTTGAGATTACGGTGTTTGAACTTGAAGTTGTGACGTATGTTGAACTTGAGTTTGTGGTGTTTGATGAACTTGAGTTTGTAGTGTTTGATGAACTTGAGTTTTTGCTGTTTATTAAACTTTAAGTTGTGGCACATGTTGAACTTGTATTGGTGGCTTTGTTGAACTTGAGATTGTGGCATTTTTTGAACTTGTGTTTTTGGCATTTGTTGAAATTGAAGTTGCGACAATTGTTGAATTTGGGTTTGTGGTGTTTGTTAAACTTGGGTTTGTGGTATGTATAAATTTGAGTTTGTGGTATGGTTGAACTTGAGTTTTGGAGTTTGTTGACCTTGAGAATCTGGCGTTTGTTGAACTTGAAGTTGTGTTATTTGTTGAACTT